GTTACACGTCTCGACTTAAGTCCCTAGAGTATCTCAAAGTCACGCGTTCACAGGCGCGAGTCGGGCTTAGAACGGGTTTACGCTAGACATTTATCGCGCGACACTGCAGAAAAAAAGGATACCCACACAGCTCGTCTTCGTAACGCAAAAGAGACCTGTACAACGTTTCGCTTCTCACGCATCTTTTTTTTCTCTCATCGATGAGTAATCGAAAATATAAATAGCAATCAACGCAGAATGTATATTGAATCTGTATAATCGAAGCAATTACGCTTAATTTCTCGTTAATCAGCTCTTTGCACTACAGCATATATGTATAGAACACAACTTTTCTCAATATCAAGCATCAAATGTACAGAAATCGTTTTTATACGATCATGTTTTTTTATTTCAACAGCGATCATTCTTCGAACGGGCTTTAATTCACCTAATTCTTACAAGGGAACGTTACGGCAATCTATAATCCGATTCTTCGGCGTTACGTCAGACCGTACATTGTTTTAGTTATGGATGCCGATTTCTTACGATAAAGAGAAATCCGTCTATTGAAGTTATTTCAAGCCGGCTCAAACAAATAATAACGATTTACCCGTACAGTCTTTACAGAATGGACATATACCGGCGTCCGTCACGCATCGCGACGTTAAAACCAGCCAGGTATCTCAGGGATAACGTTACTCGGTAGCCGTGCGTCTACTGTCCTGTAATTGCCATTAAAACCAAGGAAATCGATTAAAACCTCTTTACAAATAATAATATGAAAGTCGTACTAAAACTTTCCTTTCAAAAGAGAATCAGAAGTCTATGACAAAAAAGAAAATAGCAAATCAGAATATTTTGATCTACTTAAGCTTTCTAAATATAATTGAAACCTCTGTATCGCTTATATAAATAATATAGAAAATATTGTTAATATTTATAATTTTTGCACAGTGGAAGAATAATTGCGCACATAAATTATATATGATTTCAACTTCACACGCCTAACGGTTGCAAATCTAATTTTCTATGTTCGATGTCTATCATAATTTATAATTGAGAGATGAAACATATAAAATTATATTTGCAACCGATAGGGCGTGTGAAGTTGGAATCGTCCGTCATTAACGTTCATAATGAAAGTACAACGACCGTTTTTTACCTCCTTAAAGCCGCGGGTATCGCGTGGAAATTTATGTAACGACGTGCCGTGCTGCCTGTCCTCTTGTTGCAATGATATTTACTGTGAAAAGCGAATGAAGACGCTGCTGCATGCAACAAATTGGATATAGTCGGCAGTGAAGAAGTTAACAACTCGCACACGAGCCAACTCGAGCGTGTACGGAGTACACGCTTCGTTTCGCTGAAATAATAACGAAGATCCCCAGACCCGGCCCGTGTCGTCACGGTGTAAGCAGGAATTTCTTGCTCTCCTTTCCTTTACATTTTCACCCAAAATTACAAAAAAGTTCCCGCAAACGTCGACCGCGGATGAAACTCCGAGCGTGGGGAATTAATGCAAGAGACATGCAATACGAAAGACTTCTAATTAAATTTCGCAAAAAGCTTTCGTTTTTGTTGATCAAGGTGATTATTCCCTCGAAATACGCATGCGATATATATATATATATAACAGTTTCGAAAAACTAGAATCATCCGTTTTAATTAACGCTTGTTACATATCACGATTTCTCGGAGTTTTGTATTTTTAATTTCCGAGCATTAATTTTGTTTTAGAAAATCAATCAAGATTTCAATCTCCGAATGATTACCGTAATTGAGTGATACACGCGACGTTCACACTCACAGCTTCTCAAGGGCTATGAGTACACAGCAAATTGCTGAGCTCGCGCAAGAAACGTCCTACACTATACATACTGAACCAATCGGTTTTATAAGTCGATTTCAACGATTGACAAATCAACGATCCGGCAATGCCGATCGCGCCCGCGCATGAAAATACATAGGCAATAGCGACAAAAACATCGTTAAGGACATGCGGCAAGAGCTCAAGGAGCGTAAAATGTGGCACATTACGCTGTGCAACGTGATTTCCATCGCTAGTTGTTGTGATCAGTAAAATCTTTCCGCGTTTCAAGTATGAAAAAGCTTGATAACAAAATAATCACATTATTTTCCCATCTCTCTTTTCAATCAGATTTGAAAACTAACTTATCTGATATAAGTCCTATCGATAGAATTAGTGATTTAGCTAGTATTTCAAATATTAACTTTTCCTTAATTTTCAAGATATAAATTTGAATATTATCTTGTTGATCGCCTTCTTGTAATAATTTTATTTATTCCTGCTTCCCTGTAATTATTTAATATTTATACTATTATGAAAAAAATATTCGAACAAGCAGATTAAAGATATACACGTACACATCAAAGATGGTACGTTTTCTCAAGACTTTAACAAAAAGTACTTTTAAATCAATTAAATGCAAGAAGGAAGAAGATAACGTAAAGTTAAACGATAGCATTTTGCTAGCAATTAATCGTAACTATCTACTTTGTAAATATAACACTATAGTTACAAGCGTCTCAGAGAAATTTCTCTGAGAAATGTGCAACTGCAAGACAATGCCGTGGTTCCCGTGGAGCATAAATACACGAATCAAACCGTGCATTAACATCTTGCCACAATTACACGCGTCTCTTTATTATTACACGTCGAAAAAACTTTCGCTGCGCAAGACATTTTTATTTCCTACCAATTTCCACGGAGCGCACGTTACATGCAACTTTTTCTCATGCACTTCTCTACCGCATCCGGTTTACAATTCGGGAAAGAAAAGATCCAAATTACTGCGGTAGTTGTTGTCAAAACAAAGATAATCTACACAGAATGCGCCAGCATATTTTTTTCAAATAATCGAATAATTATAGCTAATCGATATTTTACAAGTTTTTATAAACAATATATATATATATATATATATATATATATATATACGAATAAATTATCACGCCAGATGATAATACGAAAATGAGATCGAAATAGCCATTATCAGGCTATTTGTCGAAATTAATTTCACAGCATAGGCATGAAACGTAGCAATCGCGTTAATATGACGTTTCGCGTAATTATTTGTCCCCGTTAATGCGAGCCGCGCAAATGAAATGAAGTGTGCAAATCCCCGACCGGCGAGAATTCCCTCCGATGTGCATTAATTAACGCTCAGTGCTAAATAGCACTAGCATCTTTTGTACCATTTATATGCGCGCCGTTGCGTAATGGCGCATCGATTAATCGGACTCGTGATTTCGCGCGATCCCCCGCGAGATCCGTACGCACGCACGCACGCACGCACGCACGCACGAACGGAAATAGTCGCATTTATCATATCCGTACTACGGCTTAATTAATAATTCAATGTCACGCGGTAAACGCGAACTCGCGGATGTTTCAATGTAGCGGCAAAGAGAAAGAAAGCATTCGACTCAACGTCGCACAAAGGCGCCTAATTTAGCTGAAATTCTCGCCGCATCGTCATTATCCCGCGACTGCGGTGCACCTCGTCGATCATTTAACGGCGGCCATTACTGCGCCGGTGCATCAATTAACTGCATTCGTGCTTCTCTTGTGGCTTTATATATATATGCACAGGTAACAGAGAGGAGGGAGAGAGAGAGAGAGAGAGAGAGAGAGAGAGAGAAAGGTTTCTGTGTCGAGGCGCGCGAATGAGTCCCTTGGGCAAAATAATACATTCTCGCGTTCGGTACGCAACCCATCGATACCGCTTGCATAAAATTTGCGGGAGTATCTACCACTGATAATCTCTCCAGTTTATCTACTTAGATAATGACTTATTTACGAGCAAAACTCTTACAACTTTTATGCTAACAGGGTGAAATGTATTGTTCTGAGTTCTAACGTGACGTTTGGCGGAAAATATTTTTTTATATATTGTAACTTCGAAAAGGATTTTTAATTGGAATCGTATAGCTTCGAAAGGCAAATTTTGTTTAAACTATATAAAGTTATGAAATAAAGAAAGCAAAGAGGGTCGAGGAACGGAGAGACGGGTGGATCTTGAATATTCACTTTATTGCCGGATATTTTATCGACTTTTTATTATTTCGATCCCTCCGGGGAAATTATTGACTTATAATTATATAGCGAATTAAATTGAAATGTTCGATAATAACGAATAAACGGTGATCATTAAAAACTTCTTTGTTCCAAGTATTCGTGCGCTGCACCCAATGACACCATTGATCAACATGTGCACCGCCCGAATGAGCTAATGGCTTATTGGAAGGTTATTCATATCCATGATTCTGAAAACTAGAGCAAAGCCTGTTTCCGTATCGGCGAATGGCGATTACGAGGTCAAAAGGGATCACCATTATAATAGACGCGAAAGAGGATGGCGAAGGACGGTTAAAAGCCGACACATATATGCGTGTGAGTTGGATTGGCGTTAACATAAATAGCGAAAGATCGAGGATAGAGAGTTTCGATCGTTGCGTCGATGGGAGGAAATAGAAGAAAAGTTAAAAATATGCGATTTTCTTGTACACATTTTACTCAGGTAAATAGGGTGGGAATTGGGTGGGAATTTGCGTCATGAGGCGTGCATATAAATCCACGGGATAGAGACTTACTTCACTTATCTACCTTCGTGAAACGCTATCCCTTTGATATTACACGCTATGTGATTATCAAAGTGGATCGTACATGTACGCCTCGATCCGTGGGCGCGTTTGCGTGTAATATGTGTATTCCTTCATTGTGACAGTCCAATGTGAAATCTTGGATAACATACCTCGATGTACCTGATCGAAAAAACTCGATCAAACCCTTCTCTCCGATATTCTAATTTTACACAAGTTCATTTTTTCGACAACACTGCTCATTGACGCGATTACAAAATATTTTTCTTGTAAGTTCTCCTACATAAATATATTTAACGATTTAATAACTTTCAACGAGAATGTGTTCAAAATAATAGATGACTGTGCATGCTCTATTCCGCAGATCAATATTATTGATATGAGTTTTATTAGTTTTTGCATATTGACTATATATAGGTAACCTTCCGGCGCACGTAAAGCCATATTAATGTTAATTGGCAATCATTTCGCGTTAGTGTTTCGCCACGCTTGCGTGCCGAATGATGCATTATCTATGCACCATGTTCCAGAAATAAATATCATACACCAGATCTCTCTCTCTCTCATAATATTCGCATATCGTCAGACAAGTAAATCAAAATCAGATGTACAATTTACTACGTTCACTTAAATGAGCTTGTAGGTGCCTACCGTATTACCCGTATGACCTCCTTCTGAATTACGTTCGCGATAATTGTGCGTATATACATGCTCTCTATGTTGTAACAAAACTTGTGATTCTACAGAGGAGCATTCTGAAAAATTATTAGGTTAAGTAAAAAGTCATCGCGTATTTTTTAGCTCAAAGTTGTATATACAATATCTTCGTCAATAATGAATGAAATTCAAATTTAAAAAAA